ATATATATATATATATATATATATATATATATATATATATATATATATATGTATGTATATATATATATATGTATATATATGTCTTATGTATAAAACGCTGCCGTGAGGTGATGGACACGGCGGGGAGTTGTGTGTATGTGGGTCATATCGATTGCCATCAAACAAACAAAAGCAGAAAAACGAAACAATGCAGCAGTGAAGGGACAGCTGCGTGGCTTGGCTGCTGCGGGGTTCTTCCCCCCGACTGCTGCTGCAGCCTGTCTCCTCCAGCACCTCTGCCCCGCATCTGCTGCAGCAGCAGGATACAGCGGGGGCCAGATCTCTCCTGCTGCTGCTGCTGCTGCTGCTGCTGCTGCTGCTGTTGGTGTTGCTGTCCCCTTTATATAGCAAACGAGGAGACAGACAAGGGAGAGAACGCATGCAGCGAGTTGCTTAGTTTCAGCTCTCTCTACTCGCGTCTGTGTAGCAGCAGCAGAGGCTAAGTGCCTGCAGCATTTTGGTGTTGCTGTACAGGTACATCAATCTGCAGCAGTGTATTAGTTCCTGCTGCAGCAGATGCAGCAACAGCAGCAGCAGCAGCAGCTGTGGGGGTTCCTGTGTCTCCATCCAGCTCTATATCTGCTAGCAGCTCTGTTGCAAACGTGGGGCTGAAGCTCTCTAGGGCCCCTCGGCTCCCCATCTCTCCCGCCTCCTCTCTCAGCAGGTTGCGCTGTGAGGGGGCCTGCTGAGAGGGGAGCTGCAGCTGCTGCATAGCAGCAGGAGACGGAGGCAACAGCGTGCAGTGCCCCTCTACCTGCTGCTGCTGCTGCTGCTGCTGCTGCTCATAAGGAGGCGGTGGGCAGGTGACTACGGCGACAGCGAAAGGAGACAGTCCCCCCCCCTGCCCCAGCAGCCCCTGCTGCTGCGTGGGGTCTGGGGTCCCTTGTGTCTTTCTCTTAGCTGCCTCAGCAGCAGCACTGTCTCCTTCGTGTGTCTCTGCAGACACCGCAGCGCAGCAGCAACGAAACAGACCTTAAGACAGACCGAAAGCCCTAACCAATAGCTCCTTATAAACCCTAAACCCTAAACCCTAAACCCTTAATCCGAGTGAGGAGAGTGTTTGTTCCTTTTGCTGCGTTGTTGTGTGGTGGTTGAGACAGCAGCGTTTTTGTTTGTCTCCTTGTTTTTTTGTCTCTTGTTGTTTCTGTCTCTTATCTGTCTCCCGTGTGTCTCTTCTCCTCTCATGTCTGTCTATACATAACTCTCTTTGCTAGCCACTGCTGTCTCCCCCCTCTATCCTTGCTGCAACTGCCTCGGCCTGAGTGCGGGGAGCTGAGGTGTATGTACACCTCAGAAGGAGGAGTGCAACTAACAAACTCAAGAGAAAGCAACCGCCACCACTCTCTCACCGCTAGCGAATAACTCTACACTCTTGCTGCTGCTGCAACACTCTAGAAGCTACAGAAACTGCAGCAGCAGCAGCTGCTGCAGCAGCTGCTGCTGCAGCTGCAGCGCTATTGAGGGGTTATATACTGCTGCAGATGAGGGTCTCAGCACGCGGGTGCAGCAGTAGCTGCATAAAAAAAGCGTAAGAGAGCATGAAGAAGTGGCTGAGGCTGTATACTGTATACAGCCACTAAATATATGAATTCTTTTTGTTTAGTTTTTTGTTTTTTTGCTGTATTTGAGGATCAGTAGATGAATATATTCCGTCTTTATTTATTTATGTATTTCTTGTTTTATTTATTGTAGAGTGGTAGTAAGTAACAAATAACTACAGGTACTATAGTGTTTCGGTTGTATATGTGTCTCATGATCCCTATATTATACATATAATATATTACGTAATATATATTATATAACCTAATGCATATAATATACTATAATATATTATATGTATTATATAATTTATTTGCTTAGGGGCTGACTCCAACCCCAAGCAACGGCTTGCAGCAGAAAGGAAAGGGGGGAGCACGCAGGGGCGGCCTCTACACCCTTCTTCAGCCCCCGCCAAACGGGGGTCACCTCAGTTGGTGGCAAAGGAGAAAAAGATGTTGCTGCTGCTGCTTTTGTTGCTGCTGCTGCTGCTCTCTTCTGTTCAGCTCTATCAACTAGTGGTTTGAGTCGTTGCGCCTTAAGGTAGAGGAGTTACCTGAGCAAGGAAACCCTCCAAAGGCGCCAAGCCTCCCCTCCTCTGCCCGTTGCTGCTGCTGCAGTTGTTGCTTTTGCTGTTGCTGCTGCAGTTGCTGCGGGAGCTGCTCAGCAGTAGCAGCAGCTTCTGCGCCAGCTTCTCGGCGGTGTCTGCAGCAGGTGCATCGTACCCATGGCGGAAGTTTCTGTAGAACCCTCATGGCGGTGTTGGGGTGTACGTACACCCCAGCGTCTGAGGGCTGGCACACGGGTCAGTGGATCCTCAAGGAAGTTAATGCAGCAGATAGGTGAATATGCTGCAGTATGTTGTTTATACATTAACTAAATAACTGATGTAATTTATTTATTTGATGAACAGGACTAAGAAACCCCCGGGATCGGGGTGTCCTGCTTCTGCTGGGTGGCGTCTCGTGTCATGGGTGGTCTGACAAAGTATATATATATGTTTCGTGTGTATTTTTTTTTTGTTTTCAGTTTTTTTTCTCTAATTATATTAATCATAAACAAGTAATTCACTCATCTATTCACGCGAGACACCAGAAGGGGCCCCGGGGCTGTATTCCGCGGCTCACCAGCCCCCACCAGCCCCCTGCACAGAGGCACCTCATCTGGGGCTGGTTGTTGTGTTGCTGTTTATGCTGCAGCACACTGAAAAAAAACAAATAAATTCTGTCTTTTAAACTTATACAAATCGAGAGAAACACGAGGCCCCTAGGGGGCCCCCTATCAACCTCAGCCCTTACCTCTCCCTCTTTCTCTCCTCTCAACGCCACGCTGCAGGGGCCCCCCCATCATCCTTTGACTTTATTATTAAACCAGCAGTTGCTGCAGCAGCAACCAACTGTAGCATATCTAGTTGCTGATTCTGCTTCTGCTGCTGTTGCTGCTGCTCCTTCTGCTGCTGTGGCTACTGCTGCTGCAGCTCGGTGACCGGCCTCACTGCTCTGCGCGCTAGCGCTGCTGCTCTCCCTGTTTCTGCTGCTGCTGCTGCTGCTGCTGCTGCTGCTGCTGTTGTTGTTGTACTTGCTTCCAATAGAGCTGCGTGGTAGAGATTTTTGCTGGGAGGGTTGCGCACACTGTCCGCGTCAGCAGGAGTGAGAGCAGCGCCGCGACTCCAGCGGCAGCAGCAGCCGCTGCTGCTGCAGTTGCTGCTGCGCCCTCTGCTGCTGCTGCTGCTGCTGCTGAGGAGATGGAATCCTCTAGTAGGGCCTTCTGGGAGAGGCGCGCTGCCTCCCCTGCTTCTGTGGAGGGCAGCGGTGGCCGCAGCAGCCCGAATGCCGGCAGCACCACCGAGGTCTTGCACTGCAGCAGCAGCAGCAGCAACAGCAGCAGCAGCAGCATCTGCATGGAGTTTTCGCGGGGAAAAGCGGATACAATCCCGTGCTCAGGTCTTGAGGAAGAAGAGCGTGCTGCAGCAGTTGATGCGTCTGCAGCGAGTGAAGCAGCAGCAGCAGCAGGGGGAGCAGCAGATGAGGTATCTGAGTTCTTTCCTTCCTTTCCCCCCGAAATGTATTTGCCGTCTGCTGCTGCGCTGCTGCAGCCAGGAGGCCCCCCTTCACATACTGCTGCCTCGGGTGTACGTACACCCGAGAGATCTGCTGCAGCGCCAGAGGGCAGCACAACTGCAGCAGAAATAGAAGCAACAGGAATTGCCTCGTGGGGTTGCAAGCTGAGGGGACCTTCTCCTCACGTTGATGCTGATATCATGGCTGCTCAAGCCGTCAGCAGCAGCTGCAGCAGCAGCAGCAGCAGCAACCAGCTGCAGCAGGAGCACATCGCGCTCCTCGAGCAACAGCGAAGGCAACAGCAGCAGCAGCAGCAGCAGCAGCAGCNCAGCAGCAGCAGCAGCAGCAGCAGCAGCTAGAACTGGAGGCAAGTGTCAGCCAACCAAACTCTGAGTTTGCCCATATGGATGACGCCTACGCCCTGCATGTGGAGCTGCAGCAGCAGCAGCAGCGGTGGCAGCAGCAGCTGGAGGCGCTGCGACTGGAGAAAGAAGAGCTGCTGCGCTGCATGCAGCAGCGTGAAAGCACCTTTGCTGCAGAGCGCATGCAACAGCAAAAGGAGCAGCAGCAACTGCAGCAGCAACTGGCCGACGCGCAGCAGCAGCAAGAGCAGCAGCGACAAGCCCACGCGGTGCTGCAGGACGCTATACACCAGGCGGAAGCTGCGCAGCAGCAGCTGCAGCAGCAACTGCAGCAGCAACTGCAGCAGCTTGAGCGGGAGAAGGAGAAACAGCAGCAACAGCAAACGGAGCTGCAGCAAGAACAACAGCAGCAGCAGGTCGAGCTGCAGCAGAAGTTCACCGAGCTGGAGCAACGCGCTGCAGCGCAGCAGCAGCAAGCGGAGGAGAAGCAGACAGAGCTGCAGCAACAACTGGTATTGAAGCAGCAGCAGGTTGAGCAGCAGGAGCAGCATATGGAAGAGCTGAAGGAACAGGTGCAGCAGCAGCAGCAGCAGCTAGAGCAGCAACACCAGCTGATTGAGGCGCAGCAAACCTTAATAGAAGACCAGAGGGAGCAGATAGCAGCGCAGCAGCAGCAGCTCGATGAGCTGCAGCACCTAGTAGAGACACAAGAAAGCTGCGCTGCCCAGGTGAATGAACTGAAGCAGCAGCTAGAACAGGAGCAGCAGCAGCAGCAAATACTGCAGCAGCAGCTTCAGCAGCAGCAACAGCAGCAGCAACAGCACCAGCAGCAGCAGCAGCATCAACAGTCGCATGCAAGCCGTATGGAAGCTGAACTACGGGATCGTCTGCTGCAGCAAAAGGAACGCCTCCTCGATCAGCAGCAGCAGGAGCAGCAAGAGCAGCTGCGGACCCTTCACGCCAAAGAGCGCGAGCTTCAGTTGAGGGAGAAACAGCTGAACAAGCAGCAGCAGCAGCGGCGACAGCAGCAGCAGCAGCAGCAGCGGGAGCCCAGCGACGATAAAGATATAGCGGAGTTAGTAGATGACGAAGACCTGCAGCAGAAAGATGCAGCGATGCGGGAAGTGCAGCAGCAGCAGCATTTGCTACAGGAGCAGCAGCTGCAGCAGCAGCAGCTCCAACAGCAGCAGAGGGAACAGCAGCTACGGCAGCAACAGCTGCAGCTGCAGCAGGAGAAGCTTGACAAACAGCGGGAACAGCTGCTGAAGCAGCAGCAAGAGCAGCAGCAAAGGGAACAACAGCTGCAGGAGACGCAGCAGGAGCTGCAGCAGCAGCAGCAGCAGCACGAGGAAGAGATACAGAAGCTAGAGCAGAGATTGCAGTCTCTGCTGAGGGAGCAGGAGCAGCAACAGGGGCTTGAGCAGGAGCGGGAGCAGCTGCAGCAGGAGCGGCGGATGCTGCAGCAGCAGCGCGAGAAGCTGCAGCAGCTCGATGCAGAACTGACAGAGCAGCAGGAGCATCTGTCGAGAGAGCGCATGCAGCTGCAAGCCGTTGCGGAGCAGCAGCAGGAACACTTCAAGATGCTGCAGCAGCAGCTGCAGCAGCAGCAAGAGCAGCAAGTACTCCTGCAAGAGCAGCAAGAGCTGCAGCAGCAGCAGCAGCAAGTACTCGTACAAAGGGAACGGAAAGTACTGCTCCATAGAGAGCTGAGGATGGTCGCGAGGATGCAGCAGAAGCAGCGCAGGAGCGGGAGACGCAGCAGCCGTAGGAGCTGCAGCAGCAGCAGCAACCGCAGCAGCTTCAGCAGCAACAGCAGCAGTTGCAGCGAAGGGGCAGAACCCGATGAGCGGAAACTTGAAAGCTACAAGAAGCAGCAGCAGCAACTGGTGCAGCAAATGCAGCAGCAGCAGCAGCTGCTGGAGCAGCAGGAGGAGGTGCTGCAGCGACAGCAGCAGCAGCTTCTCGAGCTTCGCAACGAGAAGGCGCTGCTGCAGGAACAGCTGCAGGGCCAGTCAGAGACTCATACAGGTATTGGAGCGACGCTGCTGCTGCTGCTGCTGCTGCTGGTGTTTCTGCTGCTGCTGTTGCTGCTGCTGCTGCTTTTGCTGCTGCTGCTGCTGGCGGTTGTGCTGCATACACCTTTTGCCTGTCAGTGCTGCAGCAGCACATCCGCAGCATCAGACTGATGTGCCCTTTGAGCAGGCCTCGAGGATGACCAGCACCAGGTTCGATCAGCCGAGTCCAGCAGCAGCAGCAGCAGCAGCAGCANCAGCAGCAGCAGCAGCAGCAGCAGCAAGCAGGAGTTGCTGCAGCAAGTGCTGCTGCTGCAGCGTGAGGTTGAGAGTCTGGACAAGATTCAGCGGGAATACGCAGCAGAAAATGTGCAGCTGACACAGGCAAGAAGAACTGCTGCTGCTGCTGCTGCTGCTGCTGCTGCTGCTGTTTGTATTTATTCTGTGTTTGTTTATACATTGTTTTTCTTCTTGCTACTCTTATGATCATCCCGTTGTTTTTAATTGACTGGAGTGTTGCATGCTGCTGGCTGTGTGCTGCAGCGGCTCAAGGAGCAGCAAGAACAGCAGCAGACGCAGCAGCAGCGAGATCAGCAGCAGCAGCAACGCCTCGAATTCCTCCTCTCGTCAAAGCAAGATGAGCTGCAGCAGCTGCAGCAGATACACAGGCAGCAGCGGCTCAGGCTAGAGGCTGCGGAGCATGACAACTCGCTGTTGCATGTACGCTGCACTATTCTAGATGCGCTTCTGTTGCTGCTGCTGTTGCTGCTGCTGTTGCTGCTGCTGTCGCTGTTGCTGCTGTTGTTGCTGACAGACTTAGGGTCAAGCTGTGCGGCAGTGGGGCGGCGTCTGTCCATGCGCAGCTGCAGCTAGCGATGTGCTGATGCACCTGCTGCTGTTTTTGCTGCTGTTGCTTGCTGCTGCTTGCTGCTGCAGGAAGAGCTGGAGATGCGGTCTCGGCTGGCTTCTGCGGCCCTTGCTGAAGCGGAGCAACAGCTGCGGCAGCAGCAGCAGCAGCAGCAGGAAAGCCCTTCGCAGCCTAGTGCACAGCGGGAATCTCGGGAATCTCAGCAGCAGCAGCAGCAGCAGCAGCAGCAGCACCTGCTGCAGCAGCAGAGTGCAGCAGTGGCGAAAGAGCTCGAGGACCTTCACGAGCTCGTGATTTGCGCGGTGAGGAGTTTCTTCTGATCCCCTTTGCAGGCTATGTATAATATATATATATATATATATATATATATATATATATATATATATATATATATATATATATATATATATGGACCTGAGTATATAGAAATCTATATGTGCAAACCAGTATACTTTTATGTATATACACCTGAAGATATGCACATCCAGGGCCTCGGGTCCTTATGGATCCCAGGGGTTTGTGCTGCAGTGTATTGCTGTCTCTGTTGCTTTTCTCTCTGCTGCTGCTATCTCTCAGGAGGCGAAGGCAGCTGAGGAGCGCATGCAGCTGGAGGAGGAGTTGCGGCGCCAGCGGCAGCACTTTGAAGAAGTCATCTCGGCTAAGGACGCAGAGCTCCAGAAGTATGGCTTATTGTCTAGGGTTTAGGGTTTAGGGTTTAGGGTTTAGGGTTTTGGCTGTAGGGTTTAGGGTTTAGGGTTGAGATTCAGGGCTTAGGAATTTAGGGTTTAGGGTTTACGGTTAGGAGTATGTGCTGTACGGTTGCTGCGCATCAGTGAGCCGTTCCTGCTTGCTCCTGCGGCAGCAGCAGGTGCTGCTGCAGGAGCTGCTGCTGTTGCCGTTGAGTGTTGTGCTGCTGTGCGTGCTGCTGCTGCTGTCCAGGCTGATGCAGTCTGTGGGGCGAGTTGCTGGGGATACTGAGGGCGGCGAAGGAGACATGAGCACCAGCAGCAGCAGGTCTTCGGCGCTGCAGCAGCACGATGGTCTTCCGCGGCTGCGGGATGCAAACCCAGCAGCAGCAGCAGCATCAGCAGCAGCGAGAGAGACATCAGCAGCAGAGGGGGAGGCTTCTGAGGTGAACGACGACAGGGAGGAGTTGCTGCAGAGGTTGAAGCAGCTGTCGTGTGCTGCAGCAACAAAGGAGCGGCTGCTCCAGGTACAGTCAGTCAGTCGGGAAGCAGCAGCAGCAGGCAGCCCTAGACACGCAGGAGAAGCCGACACACACCAGCAGCAGCAGCAGTAGCAGCAGCAGCAGCAGCAGCAGCAGCAGCAGCAGCACGTGTGTCAGTTGTTTTGCTGCAGGGGCGCATAAAGTCGCTGGAGCAGCAAGTGGCAGCACAGCGCGCGTACTACCAGGCACGGCTGAGGCCTCTTAGCGGCGGCTCTTCTTCCGCCAAGGCTGCTAGCAGCACCAACAAGAGCAGCCGCGACAGCAGCAACGCAGCGAGGAGCAGCAGCAGAAGCAGGAGCAACAGCAGCAGCAGCAGCAGCAGCAGCAAAATGCTGCTGCCGGCAGGAGGTCCGCTCTTCCCTCTGCTGCACCGCGAGAACTCCGCCTTGGGCACTCTCTTTACCTTCTGGCAGCTGTGCGAGCTGACGTTTTCAGACTACCTGCAGCAGCAGCAGCAGCAGCAGCAGGAGCAGCAACAAGAGCAGCAGCAGGAGCAGCAGCAGGAGCAACAACTCCGGACTCTTGTCTCGCTCGTCTTTCCTTCTGCTTTCCATGGGAGCCAGCGAGTCGGCTATAAGGACTTCGAAGCAGCACTGCAGCGCGTGGGCTGCGCGGCGCGGCGTTGCGACTCTATCAGCGCCTGGCTGCTGCTGTCTGGCGCACAGCAGCAGCAGCAGCAGCAGCAGCAGGTGCTGCTGCAGCTGCAACAGAGGGACGAGCTGCTGGAGCAACGCAGAGAAGTTGCAGCAACTAACGCATACATCGATGGATCTACCCTTCTACGCCGGGCAAAGGTGCTGCCTATACACCTGAAATGCCCAAACGAGCACTGCTTCAGCACCAGCAGCAGCACCAGCAGCAGAAGCAGCAGGAACAGAAACCGCAGCAGCAGCAGTTGCAGTGACACTAGCAGGTACAGCAGAAGTAAATATGTTGCGTTGAGGTTGTGTGCATGCAGCAAACCGACCCAACTTTCCTCTTCTTTCACTACGCGTCATTGTTGAAGCGGCTGCAGCATCAGCAAGAGAAGAAAAAACGATTAAAGGAGACAGCGCAGCAGCTGCAGCAGCAACTGCTGCAGGCACAGCAGCAGTTGCAGCAGTTCCAACAGCAAGCTGCTGCTCAGCAGCAGCCTAGCCTTGTGATGCAGCAGCCACAGGCGCTGCAACAGCAGGTTCAGCTGCAGCAGCAGCAGGCGCTGCAACACCAGGCAGTAGCAGCAGCAGCAGCAGCAGCTGCTGCTGCTGCTGCACCGCCAAACGTTCAAAAGCCATGGCTTGAGGAAGCCATTGTGCCTACGAATGCAGTGCGGCAGCTGGAGCAGCAGCAGATCCTTGCAGCTCCCGCTTGGTCGCCCCGTCCTGATGTGTACATACAGCTGCTGCAGCAGGCCAATGCTGCGCTGCAGCAGCAGCAGCAGCTTCTACAGGAGAACTGCGCACTTAAGCAGCAGCTCGCCTCGTGCAGCAGCAGCCAGGCAGCAGTGCCGAGCGGCCGGCAGCAGAATGTGCAAGAAGCGGTAGGGGACACAGAAGCAGCACAGCCAGCAGCAGCAGCGCGAACAGTAGCAACAAAATCAGCACCAGCAGCAGCACCTGTATTCATATATATGAAAGAACCAACTTCTACTTGTGCTCCTCTAAACCCTAAATATAGTTCCGGCTGACACTCTACATGTGTCCTGCTGCTGCTGCTGCTGCTGCTGNCTGCTGCTGCTGCTGCTGCTGCTGTGTTTTCAGCAACAACGCGTGCTGGCGCTGCAGCAGCTCTTAGCGGATCTGCTGCGGCGTCTAAAGGAGAAGCAGAAGGTCCAGCAACTACAAGCAGGCACTGCAGCGCAGCCGCTGCAGGACCCTTGAGATGCAGCAGCATAGAAGCAACGGCAAAAACGCCTGCTGCAGCAGGCGCAGGCTGCGGCTGCTGCAGCAGCAGTGCTGTAGCTGCGGCAGCAAGAACAGCATTGCTGCTGCTAGTGTTGCGTCGCTGCCGCTGCAACGGGGTCCGGAATGTGAGTAACGCTGAAGAAGACGGACACATGTGGGGTGTATAGACAGCGATTTGTACTGGGTGTTGCAGTGTTAAAGCCGCTTCAGCAGCAGAAGAAGCAGCAGGTGCTGCTGCTGCTGCTGCTGCTGCTGCTGCTCAGCCATATTCCGTTGTTGCTGACTGACTGAACAGTAGCAGCAACTGCTGCTGCAGTTCAGTAAACCTCCGCTTTTGCTGCTGATTGAACAGCAGCAGCAGCTGCTGCTGTAGCTCAGCAGCTGCAGTTGCCTCAGCATCCGCTGGTGCTGACTAAACAGCAGCAGCAACAGCAGCATCTGCTGCTGTTGCAGTTGATTCAGCATCCGTTGCTGCTGTCAGGGATAACAAGAGCAGAAGAGGCGCACGCCTGTCTTCCTGGCTGCGTTCTGCTTGCTTGCTTAAGTGTGACTGTTGTCGGAGATATCCTCTCCCCCCCTCAACACCGCTACAGCACGGGGACTTCATTGGCTACTTAGTCTCTCAGCCAAGAGACAAATGTCTAAAACGAGGCCGAAGCACAAAGTTGCTGCAGACTCGTCGTGTTGCTGTCGCTCTAACAACGCTGGGTGCGCTACGCACACCGCAGCTGCGCAGGCGCGTTGCCTTCGTCTATATATATATATATATATATATATATATATATATATATATATATATATATATATATATATACAATACTATATATTATACTATATATTATAAATGATACATATATATATTATATATATGTACACGTGCACCAGGTGGGGCACTCGCTCCCTGTCTACACGACCTGTTCTGCTGCTTCTAGCTACCGAGCATCTTCTGCCGCCGCTGCTGCGGCTGCTGCTGCTGCAGCAGCCGCAGCAGCATAGCAGCAGCAGCTAGTCCAGCAAAGGGTCCGCAGCGCTCCCCATGTGTTTGAGTATGCGCTGGTTACACTCGGATGGCGTCGGCGGTTGTAACCCCGCAGCCCTCATATCAGACTGCAGCATCTCGAACACCAGCGCCTGACACACATACATGCACAAACAGGGCAGCAGCAGCAAGTTACTAGCAGCAGCAACTCAGCAGCAACAGTGACAAAGCAGCAGCAGCAACTATGCAGTGGGATGACGCAGAAGCCACCGGTGCAAAGCCCTGCGAGGGAACGACCCTGGGAGCTGCTGCTGTTGCTGCCACTGGAGGTCCTAGTGCTCCTCCTATTCGTGCTACCGCAGCGCGGCTGCGTTTGTTGCTGCTGCTGCTCGTGCTGCTGCTGCAGTAAGTGAAGGTAGCGCACCGTGAATGTCGTCTCTGGGCGCCAGTTCAACTCCGCCCGGATGCGTGAGGCATCCCCTTTCAGCGCGTTGACCTCCGTAGGGCGGAAATGAGCAGAAGAAACCCGCACCAAAACACGGCCCCCACAGCTTCCCACTTCTTGCAGGCCTTTTCCTTTCCACCTGTACATACACCGCAAGCAGAAGTAAAGAATATGCATATCGTTGACGCGGGAGGAACAGGAATAAGGCAAGAATACGTCAATCACCAGGAATATAATAACCGGTGTGTATCGTTATCTACAGCAAACCGGAATACAAACAACTCAGCTTCACAACTCCACGTAAAAATATATCATTCAATCGCAAAACTTCAAATTCAACATAAAACACTCAACTGCACAGTCTGTGCACTCTAATGCAAGTCGCTTGTTTACACTGCAACGGGAAGCGCTGAACAACAAGGAAGGCACGCCATATATATATATATATATATATATATNATATATATATATATATATATATATATTGTGGAGATAATAATAGAAAACGAGATCCATAGAGGAGTGCCACGCAGCAGCATACTGCCGCTGCAAGCACCAGGGTAGCCGTCTGTGTGGCTCACTGGAGCGGAAGATTTGCAATAGCGAATGCCAGTTCACAGAATTCCCTGACGGAGTGTTGCTTGCCTGCAGGAGACAAAACAGAAAGGCCTAAGCAGCAGATGCCTGTGAGCCTCCGTCTTGTGTCTGATGTAGAGCGAGGAGATATCTCCCTACATACTGTGTATATAGGGGGCGCTATCTCCCTACAGAAGACGTATATAAGCGGTGCTATCTCCTTAAACACGGGGTGTACAGTAGGCACTGGCTCCCCAAACCAAGGGTGTGTAAGGGGCGTTATTTATATATCTATGCATGGGATGTAGAAGAGGTGCTGCCTCCCTACACACAAGGTGTGTAAGGGGTGCGCTACTACCAGCCTCACCAGTCGCCACTACGTAGTCCTTTGGAACCTCCTGCTGCAGCATCAACCACATGCTCTTCACGTAGTCGCGCGAATGACCCCAATCTCTGCGGGCGTCCAGATTGCCCAGTTCGAGGCAACTCATTTCCCCCTGCAGCAGCAAAGAAAGAAAAAAAAAGAACAGAAATGAAAGAAAAGCTGCAACTTAGCACCTCCCCGTATCTCTGTGTCAGCGCATGAAACCACTCAAGGGCCCCCAGAGCCAGCAGGTATACCAGAGAGAGAGAAAAAGCTGCAACCCAACAACAGCCTCACCCTCAGTCAGCAACATTATTAGTGGTTCCTCATATAACAACAACAGCTAAAAATTAATAAGAAATTCGCTAACCTTCAGAATGCTAGCAATGCCCATGGTGATTTTGCGAGAGACAAATGTGATGCCCCTCCTGGGGCTCTCATGGTTGAATAGAATTCCACTAACACAGAACATTCCATAGGCCGAGCGATACGTCTGCACTGTGAAGTGTCCGTAAAGCTTAGAAACACCTGACAAGCAGCAACAGCAGCAGCAACAGCAGCAGCAGAAGCAGTAATGTGACAGTGCTTGCAACCCCTTGAGCGAGCAGCGAGACAACGAGGAGAGAAAAAATCATGGCTACAGGGTTTAGTCTGTCTGGCCTGCTGTTGCGTTACCATAAGGAGAACAAGGCTTGAAGGGAGTATCTTCATTCTGTAGCTCCACTGTACTCGACCCAAACATCTCCGACGATGAGGCCTGGAACCTGAGAAGCAGCAGCAGAAGCCAATCCCCTAAACTACAGCAATAGCTGCGGTCCCTTGCTCTCCTTGCATACAAATACACGACAGTATGAAAGGAGAGACAAAACTTTGATGCCAAGGAGTTGTTGCACAGGAGAAAGCAGAGAAGAATACACCCGAACACACTACTCCTCTGCTTGCAGAGACAAAAGAAGAGGATATATTCGTGAAACGCCGCTCTTCGTAGGCGCTTGCACGCAAAGATCTGCTGCAAATCCTCTACATCTGAAACACTTGCATGCAAACAACTGATGCTCACACCCGCGTCTCATGGGCAAGTCCTGCAGCCCGAATGGCGTCCAGTACGCGAAGCACCCCGACGGCGGTAGAGTCGGTGGTGTGTATAGGCATCTCAAAAGACACCTTCACATGGCTCTGTTGCGCATACAGAAACAAAAGAAATCCCACCGTCTGCCTCAGCCATCCACCATACAATATATCCTCGAGACGCGGTCTTGCTCTGAAGAACCCCCAGTAGGTAGCTATGGCTTGATGAACAAGCAGCAGCAGCAGCAGCAGCAACAGCAACAGCAGCAACAGCAACAGCAGCAAAACTTACTTGAGCGGCTAGATTGTACACCTCATGAGGGCGTACGCGCGAAATAATGTCAAAGAGGGAAGTCGAATCCACGACGTCCCCGCAGTGCAGATGTATGCCTAGAAGCAGACGAAGAAAGAAATGAGTAAAAAGATAAAAGCGTGGTTTCTTTTCTCATCCATCTCCATGCATGCACTGTACACTGCATTACGATGCATGCACACTTGAATTTTACGCATATACACGTGCTCGAGTGTCTACTGAGGCTGCAATTCAACAGGAAATCCAAGCACGGGGTACAGCCAAGAGGTTGCAGCACTGTAAGGCGTACGGTTGGAGACGGGCACGAGCCGCTCGGTGTTGAGGGTGCTGCTGTGACGAATGATGCCATGTACTTCATATCCCTTTTGCAGCAAGAACTCTGTGAGGTACCTGAAAGACAGCGGGAACACCGACACCCAGCCAACTCAGTACGAAAAACCTTCGCTACCACGCCTCACAACACGCAGCCTCATAACAGACGTAATCCGGCGGGGCTTCTCATTCCAGCAAAAGCAGTTAGTGCGCACCCGCGCTTGACGGTTTGTTCACGTCTCGTGGTCGGTTCGTTCAGTGGTTAACTGGCAAAGGCGGCAGTCGGCTGCTGCGGACTTACGAGCCGTCTTGTCCTGTAATGCCCGTGATGAGCGCTCGGCGCCGAGTTGGCATTCTCACGACGAAGAAGCAAAAAAACTTCGTTCCTTTCTGCAGTTGAAGCAGTCTACTGGCTGCTCTGCGTGAGAGCTAACCGTGCGTCGTCGGAGGGGTTCAGGGTGGCTGGCCCATGGAGACAGAAGTAAACAGCAAACGGTGTATTTATAAGTCAGGCAAATAACTCTAGACTTCAAATATTTCACTAATGAGCCTTCGAAAGAGAAGAAGGCGTTCTGAACACCCCAAGGTTGCGTAGCGCTCACCGCGAGCACGCGCATGAGAGGGGTGAGGTGACTCGTGGTTCGTTAGCGGAAAATTCAACACACGACAGGTAGTTGCTAAAGAAAAAGAACAAATAAAGAACTGCTTTCATTATAAATAAAACAAAACAGGCCCTGATCTCCCCAGCATGTGTCTGGCGCCAACGAACAACAAAAATCGAGACCCCCGAAGGCAGTTGCAGTGATAATACGAAACTAGACGGGCTCCCATCAGCATCGCTTTGAAAGTTTTAAGGGAACAGACGAATTAACAACTTTTTCTACTGCAGCTTCAGACCAGCTTTTACCACCTTCAGCACATTACGCCGATCGTTTCGGGGCTGTAGACTGCTGCGAGTCACACAGGCGAGCAAGTCCTTCCGTGTGCGTCTTATTCTTTGTCTTTTCTCAGCTGTGCGCGTCTGATGTTTATGTGGTTCATATGTGGCTGCATGCTTAGCGTATGTGCTGCTCTTCCTTCACAACTCATGAGCTTGGATGCCGGTCGTTGGAGCCGTTCTTTCTACCGGGGATGTCTTTGCTGGCTTTTGCATGGGGATACTCCGCTTGAGAACTGGCCAAATAACGTCTTAGAAAACAAACACACCTAGACTGGGAATGTAATTTTAACGTATTCTTCAAGATAAATGCAGCCAGAGGAGCCAGGATGCGACCTCGACAGCCCGTCTCCGTTGGAGCGAATGATGTGCAAGCGGACCGTCTAGCTGTAACGAAACAAAATCTGCACTCCTATAGAAGTATGCTTTTGCGTAAGCAGACGGAGGGACACAGAAATACCCACACATGTGCACAAACTAAAGCGCGCATACATTTGGCTAGAGCAAACGCTCGCATTCGTACACGGTTGCAGCTGAATACGAAAGGCAGAGACTCAGCCTCAAGTTATCGTATAGTAAATTGTAGGAAAGAGTAAATTAGAAGAGGTATTAATATTCTAAACTCAATAGCAAGTAGAATATCCTGCCCTCGCGCCGTTTTCCCAGTGTTTGGCGATTAGGTAGATAGCGATTCCCTCACTGTATATGTAGCAGTCTCTGGATTCATTCCTAATTCTACCACTTAAGAGAGACGGCGACACAGCATTTGAACACAGTTTTAACGCCTGTAGCCCGAAGGATGGGCATAGAAACCTCAGAAATAACCGGCTAGTAAACATGGGCATAGGAACCTTGGAAATAGGACCGCAGTTTATGGACTCTGTGAGCGTGCTCCGGGATAGAAATGTTAAAGCAGTATTCAGCAAATGTTGGGGTTCGGTGCTTCGTTTCCCTCATCGTTTTCTCGCAGCTGGGTTGACAACTTGCGTTGGTTTACTAGGCGGTAGACTTCGCCGTTTTTTCTTAGGCACCGTCGCTTGAAGAGTAAGTGTGCCGACTGCTACAGAGAACCCAAATACCGACAGGGGCACAAGAGCGGCAGAGAGGCAGAATTTACCAGGAGAGCGATACAAACATGTGCGAAGCGATTGGATGCAGACAGGCCTCGATGACAGCGAAGCGTTGTTGTGCTACCTTGGGAAAATATGCATATTGAGTAGGGACAACAGGAGGAGCCTCACAGCACACGAAGAGGGAAGGGAGGACGAGTTGTTCTTCACGGGCTTAAGTAGCTTCTGGAAATTCCTGACCTTACATTAGGTTGGGATACTCCGCTAGTCGTTCGCCAAGCTATTCTACTAAAACAGGAGACAACGAAGCCCGGGGATGCGATCACGAGCTCCAGAGCAATCTAAAGAACCACATCCCAGTGCAAGGTAGCAAAGGGCAGAAGCAACGCTTAAAGCTGCTTCTATGCAGCCCCAGAGAAGCGCTACAGACCAACAGTAGGCAAAAACTAAACAGCTGTATATATTCTTTCGGCAGTGCTGAATTCTGGTTTAACCTCTGAGAATGCACAGATGCACTCCCGGAATGAGGGTTTCTCTCTGCATCGATTTATTGTTGGTAACTGGGGAACGATGTGTCTCGGCTATGGATACAGTCTTGTTATTATGCAAACTATACAAAAATTTGGGCTCAATGTTGTGTCTGCGTTGCTCACAAAAGGCTATTTAGTCCATGGCTTCAAACAAAGAGGCGCCACAGTAGTGAACAAATTGGTGATTGTCACTGTGTGGGTTCTTCCCATGTTTAAGCATTTACAAGCATTGACAGACGCACATTTCGCCGTGAGGCTCGAGATACTATTGATCTGGGGCTCTCAGTTAAAGCTGTGTAGACACTGGAGCTTCCAGATTCATCCTCTTCGCCGTCGTGGTCGCATCCCCATTCACTTTTGATGCATTGATGCGCCCCCTGTCCCACAATCTGCGGGCAGATATCTTCGCATTCACAAACGTGACACTGCGGTTTCTGCTTAAAATATAAAAAAATACAAATAAATACATATACATACATTCGAGGACGCATGCTAGTCCTAGGTACGCTCACGTCCACCGTCGCCACCATCACCCGTCTGTAAGGGATCGGTTATGGAATGAGCTCCAAACATTTAAGGAAGTTTTAACCTTTTAATGATCTTCCCTCTCCCCCGTTTGGAGTACCGGCTCCTCCTGTGCATGCTCATTTGGATCCTGAGTCGCCGCTGCATCTTCAGCAGCAACTGCCTCATCGGCCCCGGAAACAGGAGCAGCTTCATCAGTTGGTTGTTTCGGGTCAACGTTTTCTCCTGCTTGTGATTCTTGCTCGTTGGCCTCTTCTGGGGCAGCTACATCCTCAACAGTGCCTTCAGCTCCACTATCTTTATCAGAAACTTCTTCTTTGGCTACATCCTGGTCGGGATTCACCTGTTCCCCTGCTTCTGGTTCTTTCCCCGTGGCCTCTTCTGTGGCACCAGCATCCTCAGGAGTACCTGCTGCTCCAGTATCTGCATCAGAAACCTCGTCTTTGGCTACACCCTGATCGGCTTCCCCTTGTTCTCCTTCCTGCTCTTTTTCAGTGGCTCCTTCGGGGGCAGTCACACCGTCAGTGCCCTCCGCTCCACTCTCTGCATCAGGAGTTTTGTCTGTAGTCACACCCTGGTCAGGTTCCGCTTGTTCACCTTCTTCTTTCTCCGTGGCTCCTTCGGGGGCAGCTGCGTCCTCAGCTCCACTCTCTGCATTAGAAACCTCTTCATTAGGCACACCTTGCTCGGGCTTCGGTTGCTCTCCTGCTTCCTGATCTTTCTCCGTGGTGTCTTCCGGGGCTGCTACATCCTCAGGAGTACTTTCAGCTCCAGTTTCTGCATCAGAAGCCTCGTCTTTGGCTACACCCTCATCTGGTTTCACTTGCTCCCCTGCTTCTGGTTCTTGCTCCTTGACCTCTTCTGTGGCACCTGCATCCTCAGGAGTACTTTCAGCTCCAGTTTCTGCATCAGGAACCTCGTCTTTGGCCGCACCTCCATCGGGTTTCACTTGCTCGCCTTCTTGTTCTTTGTCAGTTTCCTCTTCGGGGGCAGCTTCATC